CAGTTAAAGCAGCCTGTCCAGCCTAAGTGCACTAGCTAGGTAATTCTCCCTTGAACTTTATTACTAGTTTTAGAGCTTATGTCAGAATCTATGATGATTTCAAATATATGGTAGGATTTCTTAAAGATTTATCTCTGCATTCCAAAGTTGCACTTATCTATTTAAAAACTCAGAGAGATATAATATTGTCACAGGACCAGATAGTCATCGACCACTTGAAGGAAATATTTCTTTGGACTTATTTTGTGAAATTAGGACACATTTCAATAATTAGATGACTTTGAGCTCTGGGAATCTGCTGGAGCTACCTTTGGAATACAGCTTCTTCCTCTGCTTGTGCCAGCCTTATCAGGAAAGTTTCTATTTCTAATCTATCGCTTCTGCTGATGAACCAAGGGCATAGCTTGATATATTAGTTAGCTGTTTTTCACAATGTCTATCATGATGTCTTGCAGAGTGGCTACTCAGTATTTGTTGGATGAATGAATGCCTCTTCATTAAGTTACTGCTTCATTTAACTCCCTTCATATATTTCATCCAGGATCTTTCTTTCTATCTCTATCTTTTTTGTCATTTTCTTATTTGTTTGCATTCCCTTTAGAGCAGCGGTTCTCAACCTTCCTAATGCCGCGACCCCTTAATACAGTTCTTCATGTTGTGGTGACCCCCAACCATAAAATTTTTTTCGTTGCTACTCTATAACTGTAATTTTGCTACTGTTATAAATCGTAATGTAAATATCTTTTTGTTTTCTGATGGTCTTAGGCGACCCCTGTGAAAGGGTCGTTCAACCCCCAAAGGGGTCGTGACCCACAGGTTGAGAACTGCTGCTTTAGAGGGTGAAAAAAGGCAAACAAGATGAACCTGAAATCATTGTATCGTCATGAGTAATTCTGATAAGAAAAAAGTATTATATGAGAAGAGATTGAAACACTTGGTTAAAATGAGGTTTTGGAGTTAATGCTGGATTTCATTTATCCATTCTATTTTTTCCTTGCCATTACTAGTGGTAGATTGGTTCTTTGCTTTTTCTTCAAAGCCCTGACCAGCTTTTTCTTTCTTTAATTTATAGCTAGTGATATGCTCTTTTATTTTTTGTTTTTATTTCTAATATTTATAACTTTTTCTCTATATGAAGTCGTCTTCCTCTTCTTTATTCCTTAAATACTGGTGTGTCCTGAGGCCTCTCCTCTCTCCAGCCTTTTCTGCTGCAGATCTGCCACTGTTCTCACCATGTCCTCTCCCTTTAAAATCCAAGCTTTCAATTTCTATCACAGTTTGGTGGTCTAGATATCCAGTGTAACTGCCTATTGGACACTTTGATTTTGCCAGCCCATGGGTACATCACATATGCCATGTTTTAAACAGAACTTTATCATCTTTCTTTCCAAACTGGTATTCTTCAGTATTTCTATCTCCGTGGTGGAAATACTCAACCCAGTGTTCTCAGACTTTTTGGTATCAGAATCTCTTTATACTCTTAAAAATTATTGAGGCCTCTAAAAGAGCTTTTATGTATGTGGGTTATACCTATCAATATTAATGCACTAGAAATTAAAACTGAGAAATTTTTTAAAAATTCACTTAAAAACAGTAATAAATCTATTACATGTTAAATAAAAGCAATTTTTTTAATGAAAAAGTTTTCCAAAACAACAACAAAAGTTTGTGAGACGTCATTCTTTTTTATTTTTACAAATCTACTTTAATGTTGGGGATCGATTTTCATATATGCAGTTTTATTCAATTAATTGCGATATTACATTTCAGGTAGCTTCTGGAAAATGCTATTGTCTACCTGTTGAGAGCATGAGAGTGAAAAGGGCAAGAGAGTCTTAGTATTATTATTAAAACGGTTTTGACCTAGCTGATCCCATGAAAAAGTCTGGGAGATTCCCAGGGGTCCAAGGACACACTTTGAGAGCTGCTTTTCTATGCAGTCACCTGGCTGTCTTCTTAGACTTCTCCCCCAATCATCA